ACCTTTCAAGACCAAGGAACAGTGAACAGGCCAGCTTATGGGGGAGTTTACTAGGGAAGGTCTACTTGGAAAAACGGGCAGGAAGAGAGGTGGCAGATTAAGAGACCCAGAGAAATGGCTGGAAGATGCTGCAATGTCAGAGCCACTACCACTGCCAGCTCTTCTTCTGCTTGCACCTGTGAGGTGTTTGTCAAAGCAGGACTGCTCACTGTCAAACATGAATGACTGGTGCCTCCCGCAACTGGGGACGCATCATGGCAGTGAGCAGGGACTGCCCACAGTCGCTGCCGGCAGTGTTGGTGGCAGGGGCAGGAGGAGAGGGCAGCGAGCAGTAGGCAGCACGTGGGGATCACCTGCAGCCACAGTGGTGGTGATGGGGGGGGCAGTGATTGCCCGCAGAAGCCAATGGTGGCTTTGGCAATGGCCAAGCTCAGGGGAGGACACATCCCCCCCATGACCTCTCTACGTGTTGTCTATGCTGTTGAAGCTTCCACCCAGGTCCTGGTTTGGTCTGGTGCTGGGGAGACTGCAGTTTGCAGGTTCGTTTCAGTGACAGTCAGGTGGGGGAGTGCCTGCAATGTGAGCGGTGCCTCCTGGCGCTGTCCTTCAGGAAGCAAGCAACTACAGAAGGAAGTGGCAAGGATCCTAAGCATCCTCCACCATGAGGAATTCATCACTTTAGATGCTGGAGGAGACTTACTGAACTGTGGAGGAAGGACTGCCAGAAGCAGCACTAAAGAAGAAAGAGGACGCAAACTCCCAAGGAGGTGGAAGCTGCAAGGTTGTGATCTCTGGCAGCAAGCAGAAATCTTCATCTCCACCTGCAGCAGTTGCCTGGAGAAGATATAAAGCCATAGCAATAGAGGAGGAGCATATTCTACTGGTAGAAGAAGCCAGGCTAGCCCTCCCAAGGTTGGGATGATCGAGACCACTGCCATCAGGAGGAAGCGATAAGTGGTAGCGATCAGAGGCTTCCTTTTGTGGGGATGGAGGCATCCATCTGCCAGCCTAACTTGTTGTCTCGGGAGGTCTGCTGCTTGCCCAGATCCGAGATGTCATAGAAGGATTACTGACCCTCTAACTACCACCCCATGCTGCTCATCCATGTGGACACCAAAGATAGTCCCAGGAGCAACCCTGAGCAGATCAAAAGTGACTACAGGGCTCTGGGCACAAGGGTGAAGGGGACAGCGGTTTAGATGGTATTCTCGATCCTTCCAGTCAAGGGGAAGTGCCCAGGCAGATCAATGAATGATTATGCAGATGGTGTCACCAGCAGGGCTTTGGCTTCTTCAACCACAGGATCTTGTTCCAAGAGGAAGAATTGCTAGGAAAAGATGGGATCCACCTGATGAAGAGAGGCTCTTTAACAGTAAGGAGGGCTTTAAACCAGGTTTGCTGGGGGATGGAGACCAAAGCTCTGAAGTGGGGAAATCGGTGACTTGGAGGAAGCACAAGCAGGAGGAGTCAACAGGGAAAGCCTCCTTATTCTTCCTGAGAAAGTAAGGGAATTGGCGAGTTACCTCAAGTATCTGTACACAAATGCATGGAGCCTGGGAAACTAGCAGAAAGAACCAAAGTCCTGACAAAGTCACAGAACTATGATGTGATTGAAATAACAGAGACATGACTGGGGCACTGTCATGGATGGGTATAAACTATTCAGAAAGGACAGGCAGGGGAGAAGAGGAAGAGGAGTTCTACTGTATGTAAAGGAGCTGCATTATTGCCCAGAGCTCCAGTATGAAACTGGAATAGGCCTGTTGAAAGTCTCTAGGTTGAGCTTACAGGGGAGTGTTATATCATGGTGGGGGGCTGCTACAGACCACCAGACCGGGGGGTGGAGGTGGATGAGGCTTTCTTCAAACATCTAACAGAATTTTCCTGATCATAGGCCCTCGTTCTCCTGGGAGACTTCAGTCACCCTGACTTCTGCTGGGAGGGTAATACAGAGGTATACAGGCAATCCAGGAAGTTTCTGGAGAGTGTTGGGGACCACTTCCTGGTACAAGTGCTGGAGAGCCAAACTAGGTGCTGTGCTCTTCTTGACCTGGTGCTCAAGAACAGGGAAGAATTGGATGGGGATGGAGAAGTGGATGACAACTTGGGCAGCAGCAGTCACAATATGACTGAGTTCAGGATCCTGGGGAAAGGAACAAAGGAGAGCAACAGAGTAAGGACCCTGGATTTCAAAAAAGCAGACTTCGACTCACTCAGGGAACTGATGGGCAGGATACCCTGAGAGGTCAACCTGAGGGGGAAAGGAGTCCAGGAAATCGGTTAATTTTTAAAAGAAGTCTTACTGAGGGGTTCAGGAACGAACCATCCCAATGTGCAGGAAGGCTGGCAAGTATGACAGGAGATTGGATTGGCTTAGCAGGGAACTCTTCAATGAGCTAACATACAACAAGGAAGCTTATAAATAGTGGAAACTTGAACTAATGGCTAGGGAGGAGTGTAAGAGTATTGCTCAGGCATGCAGGGAAGAAATCAGGAAGGCAAAACTCATGGCAACTGGGTGAGGTCCCAGATGATCAGAAAAGGGCAAATATAGTAACCATCTTTAAGAAATGGAAGGAGGACCTGGAGAACTACAGACTGGTCACCCTCACCTCAGTCCCTGGAAAAATTATGGAGCAAGTCCTCAAGGAATCCATTTCTAAGCACTTGGAGGAGCAGGTGATTAGGAAGAGTCAGCATGGATTCACCAAGGACAAGTCACATCTGACCAGCCTGGTTGCCTTGTATGACAAGATGTCTGGCTCTGTAGATGCTGGAACACTGGCTGGACTGCCAGGTTCAATGGGTAATAATCAATGGATCAATGTCTAGTTAGCAGCTGGTATCACATGGAGTGCCCCAGGGGTTGGTCCTGGGGCTGGTTTTATTTAATAGCTTCATCAACAACCTGGAAACCTGGGGATGGAGTGCACTCTCAGCAAGTTTTCAGATGACACCAAGCTGGGGCGAGTAGTATATTGTAGCACATTGGGGTCCCAGGGGTAGCCGCAATGCCCCTGATGGCTCTGTGACCATGCCCTACTCCACCCCTAGGGTGCCCTCCTATCTCACCCGCCATGCCTTGATGTGCAAAGTCCTGCATTTGGGCAGAACAATCGCACTGGCGCAGGCTGGGGACTGACTCTCAAAGCAGCAGCTCTGCAGCAAAGGACCTAGGGGTTACAGTTGACAGCAGGCTGAATGAGCTAACTGTGTGCCCTTGTTGTGAAGGAGGCTAATGGGATCTTGGGCTGCTTTAATGGAATTGTTGTCAGCAAATTGAGGGAAGTGATTCTTCCCCTCTGTTTGGCACTGGTAAGGCCACATCTGGAGTATTGTGTCCAGTTTTTGGCCACCCATGATAGAAAGGATGTAGACAAGTTGGAGAGCATCTAGCAGGAGACAACGAAAAGGGTTAGTGGATTGGGGCACATGAAGTCTGAAGACAGGCTGAGGGAACTGGGCTTATTTAGTTAAAAGAGAAGACTGAGAGGGGTTTAATAGCAGCCTGCAACTACCGGTAGGGTGGTGCCAAAGAGGATAGAGCTAGACTGTTGTCTGCCACCACTGAGAACAGAACAAGGAGCTATGGTCTTAAGGTGCAGCAGGGGAAGTTTAGGTTAGATATTAGGAAGAACTTTCTCACTCGAAGTATAGTAAAACCCCAGAACAGGTTACCCAGAGAGGTTGTGGAATCTCCATCCTTGGAGGTTTTTAAGACCTGGGTAGGCAAACCTTGGCTGGGATGACATAGTTGTGGAATGTCCTGCTTTGAGCAGGGAGATGGACTATCACAAGATGACCTCCTGAGGTCCTTTCCAACCCTAATTTTCTATAATTCCATGAAATATGCCTACAGAATATAGGACAGGCTATGTAAGTTATTCTAGAAGCAAAATCATTTTTCTTCATTAGTCCAGTACTTAAAAATTTTCATTAATGAAAAGATCCATTTTCCACTTATTTTTTCAAAGAAGAAACATGTCCACAAATAATGATTGAGGTCATCCATCTCCTCTTTCCTGCAACAACATATCCTGTCTGAGTATCAGGTCCAACCGCACCACCCCATGACTACAGATCTCATTAGAGTGAATCAGAGTCTTGGAACTGGCTATCATTCTTTGTGATTTTGTACTTCAGATAGACAGGTTTTTAGGCTAAACAAGTGCTTTATTAATTTTAAAAAAGGGGAAGTTTGAGAAAAATCTCAGCTGCCTGTACATATTTTTTCTAGTGTTAGGGGAGTTCTTACAAAGTAAGTCTACATGTAAGAGTAAGGAGAATAGATTTCATGGTTTGAAGCTTTAGCAGTATCCCTTTGAAAGGAGAACAAACCGTAAGTTTTATAGTTTCATAGTTGTTAGGGGCTTACAGATCATCAGGTCTAGACCCCTGCACTAGGGCAGGAAAGTGATTCACACTGTACTCTACCTGATCCCAAAAAGCATGAAAATGGGTTCAGCAATCATGGAAGATGCTGATTAAAGAGTATGGAAGCTGCAGTCCTTTAATTACAGAACAGATATAGCGAAAGTAGCAATGGCATATTCTTTCCTGCACTGTTTCAGTTATATGTCCCAAGTCTGTCTTGACAAGACCACCCAGGAGCATTCTGAACTCTCCATCAAATTAATTCTGCCTTTCTGGTCATGTTCCCAAAGAGGAGGCATGGGAATACTTGCACCCTAGGAACTGTAATAAAGAAACAATATTTCACATAATTAAAATACAGAATTTCTGTACTTTTAACACATTAAATCAGGTTAGCACAAGTGTTGCAGCATTCTGCACTTTAGATATCACATGGGCTGCCAACAGACGTGAAACAAAACAAAACAAACAAAAAAATGTGCTTTAGTTTGACCCAGCTCTGCAGCATCTGTATATACTGGGTGTTTTTGCAGGGCCTTTAGGTGCTTTTATCTAATAAGTGATTCAATCAGCTATTAGATAAAAGCACCAAAAGTGCCCTACTGAAGCACCTGATGTATACATACATTGGGTGAGCTGGATCCAACTAACACAATGCCTCTTATGGGCATGTGCTGGGCTTGGCCTGAGGGTGTGCGGAGTTTCAAGTAAAGCCATGTTTTGGGTTGTTTTTTTTAAGTCTGTAAACAGCCTATGAAAAGCATTCTCTTGAGTCTTAATAGAAACCAGTTTTCAACATTACTATGTATGACAGACTTTCGTTAGGTTAACACTCCACCTGCTGGCTGATGCCTGAACTGCATCATGGCCATTACCAAGGAAGTCAAATGTCTATTTTCCTATTTACTTCTAGGTGAAGATACATTGTCATAGCAACTGGGAGACCTCTATACAGAAGATGTACTCGCATCTAAATGTGCAGATTACTATGCAGAACTAATTTAAAGTTATATTTAAATTCATTATAAAAAATTCACTGTTTTCAAATATTGTAACCCGAGCAAAGTACTGCAAATAGTGCAGATTTTGACAATAAACAGTACTCTATCTGAAAGAAACCTTTATCAGCCAAACCTTCTCTCACACTCAGCTCAACTCCACCTCAGACAGTGAAAGTGGGTTCTGCACCATATTCAATTGGTTAGTAAGTTTACCAAAACAAGCAACATAATTCTTTAGCATTCTAAGTATAGAGAGTCAGGGTAAGGAAGCAGGACTAGAAGGGACCTCAGGAAACCATCAAGTACAACGTCTTGCCCAAGACAGGGACACCCCTGATGAATTCATTCCAGACAAATGTTTATCTTACCTGCTCTTAAAATCTTAGAAGGATGGAGATTCCACAACTTCTGTAGATAATATGCCTAATTATCCTCTCAGTGAAAGTTCTTCCTAATACCCAGTGTAACAGGGAATCCTGGCCCTGTTACCAGAAGGCAAGGCAGGCTGAGGGTTCAGAGGGGAAGGAAAGACCCCAGATGAAAGAAAAGAGAGGGGTGTATGTAACAAAGAACCCTAGCCCTGTTAGCAGAAGACAGGCCAGCCCCTTTAAGATCAGGACTTTCTGGGCACAGCACACTGGTAAGATAGGGGTAAAAGTTGAGCCAGGCCAGGTGACCAGATGGGGGCAGGCCAGGACTATAGAAACCCTGGGCTGGGCAGCAGTTGGGGGCTGGCAGCCAAGGGAGAAGGAGTGTGTGTGACAGCTCCACAGAGAGGCTGGGTGAGTGGTCCAAAGGCTGAAGGAACTACTGAGGAACCCAGAGAAGCAGCTGCAACCCCAGAGGAAGGATGGTAGCTGATGGTGGGGAGCAGAAGCATAACCTGAGTAAATGTAAGCTGGCGTGCTGCCTTCTTTGAACATCTTTTTCTGGTGGTGTTTACAGCCCATGGACAGACTGTTTATGGGTTTTTTTTAATAACACCAGCAGTTTGGGTGAAGCTAGTGGGAAAGGAGGAGGCCTCTTTGGGACCCCACTACACCATGGGGGCTTGGTGCCTGTATGGGTGCAGGATCTGGGATGTACTGACCCTGGCACCAGAGAAGACACAGCATTCAGGGTACATAGGCCCAGGTGCCAGTGTGGGTACAGGATTTTGGGGGATACAGACCCTGGTGCTAGAGGGTGCAATCCTAAAAGACCAGGGTGGTCTGGTGCCCCTGAGGTACAGTTTTGGGTTTTTTTGTGGACTGGGATGACATGGGTTCGGGGCCGTTCCCCAGCCTTGAACTTGCAGCCCCCTGGCTGTGGGACCAGTGGCTGGGTCTCTGGGTCAGGGAGGCCGAGCTCCAGACTGAAGCAGAAAGGAGGGCCACAAGCCTCAAGACAAGAAAAAGGGCTAGAGCCTCAAAGTCGAACCCTATTTGGTGGGTTTAGACTGGGAGGCCTAGCTAGAGAAAGGCAGGCGTCAAGGCCCATGGAGGTGGAAGACTCCAACATACGAAATATAATAGGCAGTCTCCCGCTTACAAGAACATCAGTATAACAATTTTCCATCAAGACGTGGCAGGAGAGTAGAGAGCGGGACACAAGAAACCTTAAAGGGCACTCCAAGGACGCCTCATGTAGGGCACGGATAACAGGGAAGATGGTGCTGGGTGCCTGTTACACCCAGCTTACAAGAAATTAAGATCATTGCTCCTTTTTCTGTTCCCTGCTGTGAAGTGCCGAGCCTTCGTTTCTCTATTCAGTCCGACCCGGGTGGACCCCTCTTGCTAGAGGGTGCTCTCACCTCCCGCGGTGCACCCGCTGAACTCGCCTGCCACGACTTTGATGTTATTCCGGTTCAGTATTATTCGTCTGGCGCGTGCACGTCCGGAAGTGAGACTCTGCGTATGTGAGTCCCCGGGGTCGCAGAGGGCTCCTCCACCCCTACACCCTCACCCTGGCCTCCAGATTGTGGGGTCCCCACTGGCCTCAATCGTACTCGGAGCAATTAATCCCTCTTCCCGCGGGATTCAGCTCACCCAGTTGCCTCACTGGGCTGCCGTACTTTCTCCGGCGGAGTTCTGTCCTCGGGGCTCCTACGAGCCTAATTCCCCGCGGGGTGTCCCTCTTCCCCTGGGACTTCGGGAGAAGGACAAGTCTTCCCCCCAGTAGGGTTGTCGTCCGCTCACCAGATGGGTAAGCTGCTCCCTCCTCACACCAGCGGCTCTGCCCCACAGTCTCCCCTGGCTTCTGAGGGGAACTGCTGGGCTGGGTCTTCCGCTGCCCCCGGCTCCGACCCGGTCCCCTGCTGGGGTCTTACCCGCACCCCAGAACGTGCGGGTCCGGTGCTGAGCGGATCGCCTCTGCCTGCTTCCCGCGGCGCCGGTGTCTGCCGCTTGTCCGGGCACTTCCGGTTCCGCCGCTGCCTCCGTCTCGTGGACCGCCGGCCCTTTTAACGCTGTCTCTCAGCGATCCCAGCTGCAATCAATCAGTGAGTGCCCTGTCTCGCTGGGAAAGGGCGGGTCCGACACAGCGGATATCCTGCCGCTGCTTTCCCCGGGGTTCCTGGATTCTCGCGCTCCCGCACACCTGCGGACAGAAGGAATAGGCTGTCACCATCCTCTGTATAAGTACCCTTCAAATATTTGAAGACTTATCAAATTCCCACCTTCTTTACCAATCCAAATGAGAAGACAACAAAATAAGGTATCTTGTGAATTTGTTCCTTAAATTCACGGAGGTAATAAGTTTTAAAGCAGTGTTTTCCCACGTGGTACTAGTCAAACCCAGTTTTTCACTACCATAAGAAACCAAAGTTCTCTATTGTACAGGGTATCCAAGTAAACAGCTGCCATGTTTTCTTTTCTAAAAGGTGTTAGGTTAAAATGTTATTAGTGTTTAATATCTTCCTCAAATTTTGCAGCTGCACTACCTCATTTCAGATCTTCATATGACCAACCTGACTGCCTTCTATGACAAGATGACTTGGTCTGCAGATGCTGGAAGAGCAATAGACATGACATACCTTGACTTTAGCAAGGCTTTTCATATGGGTCTCCCACAACTTTCTTGCTAGCAAGCTAAGAAAGTACAGGTTGGATGAACAGACTGTTAAATGGATAGAAAATTGGCTGGATTGTCTGGCTCAGAGGATAGTAATCAATGTGTCTAGTTGGCAGCTGATCTCAAGTGGAGTGCCCCAGGGGTTAGTCTTGGGACCAGTTTTGTTTGTATCTTCATCAATAAACTCGAAGAGGGGATGGAGCGCACCCTCAGCAAATTTGTAGATGACACCAAGCTGGAGGGAGTAATAAATACAATGACGGATATGGCTAGAATTCAGAGAGATGTTGACGAATTAGAGGATTTGACCAAAAGAGGTCTCATGGAGTGCCTATACACAGCAGAGAAGCTGCTCCGACACACTGGAATTCCAGGGCATCAGAGCAGACTCGATTAACTTTAGTTGGAACAAGCTGTAGCTCAGGAGCCCCTGCTGTTTTTAAGCACGGGAATGCTGAAACAGGAGACACGGCAATGCTTCAATTAAGTTGGAGCCACTTTAATTAAAGCGCCTCTCTCCCACATCTCCAGAGCATGTGTAAAAGTGCCCATGAAGTTCAGTAAGAAGCCCAAAGTCCTGCACTTGGGACAGAAGAATCCCATGCACCTCTACAAGCTTGGGACCAACTGGCTAAGCAGCAGGTCTGCAGAAAAGGACATGGGGGTTACAGTGTACGGTAAGCTGAATATGAGGCCGTTGTTGCAAAGAAGGCTAATGGCATACTAAGCTGCATTAGTAGCAGCATTGCCAAAAAATTGAGGGAAGTGATTATTACTAAGAAAGAACAGAATCATTCTACACCCCATGTGCATCCAGCAACCAACCTGTCAGGTGCAGAGAATTCAGAATTAAGTACTGCCACAAACTGGAAACAGAAGTAGGATTTCATAGATTTTCTTAAGACATTAGAGGCTGGAAGGGACCCTGTGAGATTGAGTCCAGCTCCCCTGCCAGACACTGGAAGTCTGCAGGGATCAAATGATCCCAGCAAGATAAGAATCCAAACGCCTTTTTTGAATGAGTCCAGAGTAGGTGCTTGCACCACCTCTGGGGAGAGTCTGTTCCAGACCTTGGACACTCTGACTGTAAAGAAGTTTTTTCCTTATATCAAGTTTGAATCGGCCTTCTAGAAGTCTGTGGCCATTAGACCTAGTTATCCCTTGGGGAGCCCTGGTGAACAACTGTTCTCTCAGATCCTGATACACCCCCCTTATATACTTATAGGCAACTGCCAAGTCCTCCCTGAGCCTCTTCGCCAGGCTGAAAATTCCATGTCCCTCAGCCTCTCCTTGTTCTCTTGGCCTTTGATCATATGGATGGCTCTCCTGTAAACTCTCGAACTTATCCACATCCCTCCTGAAGTGGGGGGCCCAAAACCGGATGCAGTACTCCAGCTGCAGCCTCACTAAGGCTGAGTAAAGTGGGAGGATGATGTCCCTAGTTTTGCTCGAGATGCATCAGTGGATGCATGCCAGAGCTTGGTTTGCTTTGCTGGCCACAGCATCACATTGGTGGCTCATGTTCATCTTGTGGACAATCAAAACCCCCAAGTCTCTTTTGGTCAAGGTGCTAGCAAGCGTAGCACTGCCTAGCCTGTAAGTATGATACTGGTTTTTTCTCCCAAGGTGGAGTACCCTGCATTTCTCTATGTTGAATGCCATCAGGTTTTGGTACACCCACTTTGCAAGCATGTCCAGGTCAGCCTGTATC